TTATTTAGATTATTTACCCTTGTGTTGTTTATATATCCTTGCATATATTTCTATCATATAGGATATATCTCATTGTTCATGTTGCTTATCCTAGCTTATATTCTTGTTGTATTTCATACTTGCTAGGATAACTTGATAATTAATTTTAATTGGCATATAATCGGATTAGATTAACATAAGACCCTAATCACCCCCTCTAGGGTCTAACAGTTTTGATGATTACAAATAATTCCTAATAACATGTGTCGAGTATTTGCATTTGTTTTGTTAGGTAATCTACACAAATATTTGTTGGAGGTTGATTGGATTGCGCCTACACGATCATATCCATTGGAGGATGGAAGGAATATCGGAATGAAGCAATTCACAATGCAAGTCGAAGATTCAAGATCAAGCTTCATCCATGTTACCAAGATCGAGTGTCATGAAGATCATTACTTGGTATATTTAGTTTTTAGGAGTTTATACTTTGTGTGTTGGTACTTAAAGCTTATATATACACACATACACGTTTTGGGTTTTATAGCTTTCAAGTTTATATAAATATGAAACAAATAGTTATTTTTATATACTTACATATTTCATATTTATTGTTTTTGGTCTAGCTATACAAATATGAAACAATAGATATATTCATATACATACTCATACGTTTCATATTTATCATTTTGGTTTTTATAAAAATGCATATATTATGCAAAACATCATTTTTGAGAAAATATTATCTTTGTGGATTATAGACTTGATAATATTAGTTTGTACCTTTTTCTAAGTCTATAAACCCATACAAAAGTTTTCAAACTTTAGTTTAAGTCAAAATGTCAAAATCACGTGTTGTTGAGTTTTCACATTTTTGGACTATTTTGTAAAATGAAGAGTTTTCATAATTGAGAGATGCAATTTGAAAATTTCTTTTTGTAACATGTTTATTTTTATGTTTATAATTATTTCCCAAAGTTTTATATTTTTTGGAATTTATTTGCTATTTTTTAAAGAACTTTAAAAATCAGATTTTATACATAAACAGTGCATGTGCATGTTTATAAGTCGACTTATGTACTGTAGCAAGTCGACTTATGAATTGTTCTGGAAAATATAGTTTTTTTTCTGCTGAGTCGACTTATACTTCAAGCAAGTCGACTTATATATAATAGGTCGACTCATGATTTTTGCAAGTCAACTTATATGAGTTCTTCAGCCTGTAACGGCTAGTTATAAGTCGACTTATGTACTGTAGCAAGTCGACTTATAACAATATAACGGGTAGTTTTTTTTTTTTAGATTTTTAGGTTTATGTTTTTTTATCCTTTTCCTTGGTTTTCTCTTGGTTTTGGGGCTTGTTCTATGATCCTATATATACCACATACCCTCTAATTTCTAAGGGAAATTAAGAAAAATTTTAAACAAGTTTAAAAGTTTGTTTAAGTTTTGTTTCAAGTTTGTGTTGGTGTGAAGACATTTTCACAAAGAGGAGGCTTGCAATTTTGTTTGAGGAATTCATCCTCATTCTCTCTTCTATATCTCGTTGTGAATTGGAGAAGTTTTCTAAACTCTATTATGTAGCCTTTTATTCTTGAATTTTCATATTTATATTTGCTAGATTAATTTGAATTTGATTTCATTTTACTCTTTGTTTACACACACATAACCATATTGAGCTTTTAGTAATTTGTACATTATATAATTTGGGTTGTGGTGAGTGTTATTTAGAGTGTGGGCTTACATTGAGTTCTCATCCATTGCAGAGAATAAATTATTTGTATTGAGCTTTTATTGTGTGATCACATTGTAATACACAAGGATACCGAGAGTAATGTGTGGTGAGAGACGAGGTCGATTTCAAGAGGAGTGAGGTCGGTGGTAAAACCTAGTGAGAGGTAGTAATTTCGAGCACTTGAGAAAGTCAAAACGGGCTAGGCCAACACTAGAAGGTGTATTGTGTAGTTACAAGTGTGAGTTGTAAATATTTGTCGGTGAGCGTAGAAAACCGAATTATGAGGTGTAAACATTTTTGTGTGAACGTCGAAAACCCATTGTGATGGTGGAATTCTCCCCGGGAGTGGGGAGTGGAGACGTAGGTCGGAAGGACCGAACTCCGTGATCATATTGTGTGTTTGAGTTTGCCTTGGCGTTACATTTGTGCTCATTATTTATTTCGCAATTGCTCATGTTTATTTCACCCTTAGATTAATATCCTTGCATATAATCTTCTTGAATATCATTCTTGCTAGTTGCTCATGTTTATTTCACCCTTAGATTAATATCCTTGCATATAATCTTCTTGAATATCATTCTTGCTAGGATAATTAGTTAATAAGTGCATATAATCTTCTTGAATATCATTCTTGCTAGGATAATTAGTTAATAAGTTTTTAATTGGCATTAAATTAGATTAGATTAGCATATACCCTATTCACCCTCCTCTAGGGTACTTTCAAAATCGTATCTCCAAGTAAGTTACTATTATAATGCATTGACCTCACAAAACAATTTTTATAGCATTATATAAATGATACCCAAATTATATGTGCAACAATAAATATTTTATTAATATTCAAGAATATTTCATAATACATATTGGATGTTCAAAGGAATATCATAACTACTCTAGCACTAAAGTGCATATAAGCAAAGTTACAACAAATATTATTAGAGTTTAATCTACTCCTCTATACAAATGGGAGAACCCAATATTCACTATTTATGATACAGTAACATTTACTGTAGCAAAAAATAAATCTGAACACTACAGATTTTTTGAAAAAATACTACTGTAGTACACAGAGATACTATAGAAAAGGCGGAGGTACTGTAGCATTTCAAAAATCCAAAAAAACCACTGGAGCAGTTAAACCGAGATTACTGTAGCAGAAAAAAAGTATGTCGTGCTTGCTCGGTGTTCACACTAGTTTATTAGAAAACCATAATCCCCAACCCTCATCATGACTTTGGAGTTTTGGAATAGTGGTATAGACATTTGATTAGAGCGATCCACGTTCAAATCCCACCGACCATAAATTTAAAGAGGATTTTTTATTAAAAAATTAATAATATTTCATAAGTCTAGGTTTCGGCCCATAGACCTCCCAGTAACTAGGATCTCTCCACATCGCTCATGTGTTTATTAGCACTCTGCTTTCTGCAGGGATATATCGTATCTATCACTCTTCAGGGCTTGGTGCACCTTCTCAGTAGAAGCAAGTAGAAGCAAGATGACTAGCTTTAGATAGTGTAACAAATTGCATAATGCTCAGCACTGACTATATGCTTTTGTTCCTTCTATGAAATGCGTTCTGGTTTCTTTTTTGGGTAAATTTCACAAAACCACTCGGGGATTTGCCGTGAAACCCCCAACCTGTATTTAGACACCCTAGAGGTTAGAGGGTTTTTGTGGGAAACCCTCCAAAGTTCATGGGGGTTTTTGCAAAATTTACCCTTTTCTCCATGGCTGATTTCATTAAATGGTGACCTGAATATCACAATATTTCTCAGCATGTATCTATTTAATTGCGATGTCATTAGTAAAATCTTCACTTTTCCTAGTCTATAATTGTCCCAGAAAATCATTGGAGGCCTTCTCTGCATTAATATTTTTCTCAAATTTTTGTTTATTAAAGCGTTAAGAAAATCAGATAAGTATTTATTGGATATGCATAAAAACATGGGTTTCCTTAAGGTGGGTTTAGTAATGCACTCTATGTAATAATTCAAACCAATTTTGCAGCTTCACCTGAACCAGTCGTTAAATCGGTCTAAACATTTTGGGTGCACGATATTTGGCCGCATGTAACCGGGTCCTATTGTTTTATTTATGACCTCAAAAACAATATGACTCCAGGCTGTTTGGTTTGCTGCCATAGAAATTGTATTTAAGTGTCAGTTGCGTTCAAGTTAAATTTTCTCAAAATTACTGAAAACTAACCGATTCGACCATTTGCCCGCCCCTATTTGGTATGGTTTTAAAATTTATGCAATCTCAATTTTAGAGGCTTGATTTGGGGTATCAGGTCTCTTTTGGACTTTTATTTGAGTTTAATCGCAATAGGAGGTACAGCCCAAACACCTGCATTTTATGCTTATAGATCTGTGTAAATCAATTGCTATCCGAGAAATTTTTCGGTTGTACGTAATCAAAATTAAATTTACTAGTTGCAATAAAACAAACAACTGCGACCAATATATCACACGGTTGCATGCTACTACGCAACGAACTAAACAATCCTGAGGCATTTCTTAAGTCGTTTGTGTTTTACTGGGGAGCGTACGGTCAATGTTAGGGACAATGCTTTGGCCACCTGTTTCACTTAGGCACAAGTTGTTATTTTATATATTTATAATAGGTAAAATATCATGAAACCCCCTTATGTTTGGGTGTTTCTCAAATAACCCCCCTCTTAACGTTCAAATTGACATAAAACCCACTCTTGTGCTGGGGTTCTCTAAAAAAACCTATTTAGCTTTCAATGTTTCTCAAGCCCCCAATCCTCCTACTCCACCCTCAAAATCAAAAAAAAAAAGAAACCAAAATACCCAGCACTACACACACAAACACAAAATGAATCGTTAGCGTACATGGCTAAAAATATCCCTCGTGGCCAAGTTTACCCACCCACATATGAAATTAAATTTACGCCACAAATTTTTTGAGGTTGGGGGTTGGGGGTTTGGGGGGGGGGGGGGCGGTCGAGGATGCAGGTGGGGTTGTGCCATTTGAAAGTCTGGAGGGATTATCTGAGCAGACCCCAAACATAAACGCGAAGTTTTCTGATAAATTTTACCTTTATATATCATCTTGCTTTGATTCCGTGTTTTTGGTGCTAAGAAGATGAACTAACCGTAGAACGAAGGAAAGGACGAGCTAATACCTGAACACTTCACTCTAACCACACACATCCGCAAGCCAACAACCAACCTAACTCTGAGCCAAGTCAAAAGATATGTAACAAGTGAACCTATAAATATTCACTCAATCACTCAATCCAGATCAAACAACTTAATTTCCTTGCTACAATACAATGGCTTCGCCTCGTAGAGTTCCTTTCTTCTCTATGAGTCTCCTCATTGCACTCTTCATCACGAGCAGCTTCACGAGCGAAGCTGCTCGCCTTCTACTCGAATCTCCATTACCTGAAATTCCAACAATCCCTAAGCCGGAGCTACCTCCAGTACCTGAGATTCCAAACCTGCCCAAGCCTGAATTCCCACCTTTACCTGAATTCCCAAAGCCTAAATTGCCTCCATTGCCTGAGATTCCAGCTCTCCCGAAGCCCGAACTACCTCCTCTACCAGAGTTGCCTAAAGTTGAATCACCACACTTACCGAAGATACCTACCATCACTAAAGCCGATGAAGCACCACTTCCCGAGATACCAACCATACCGAAACCCGAGATTCCTGAATTACCTCCTTTGCCTGAAATTCCAAAACCTGAGTTACCCCCACTTCCTGAGATTCCAACCCTTCCAAAACCTGAACTACCTCCTCTACCAGAGTTACCTAAGATTGAAGTGCCACCTTTACCGAAGGTAACGACCGCCGCTAAAACCGAGGATCTACCAGAGTTACCTAAGATTGAAGTGCCACCTTTACCGAAGGTAACGACCGCCGCTAAAACCGAGGAAGCACCAATCTTAGATGCACCAACTATACCGAAACCTGAGATTCCAGCAGTACCTAAGGTTGAATTACCACCTTTGCCTGAACTTCCTAAACCTGAGTTACCCCCACTTCCCCCAGCAGTACCTAAGGTTGAATTACCACCTTTGCCTGAACTTCCTAAACCTGAGTTACCCCCACTTCCCAAAATTCCAACTCTTCCAAAACCTGAACTTCCACCACTTCCGGAACTACCAAAGCCCGACTTACCTCCACTACCCGAGATTCCAACTCTTCCTAAGCCTGAGATTCCACCACTTCCTGAATTACCAAAGCCTGAGTTGCCACACTTACATGAACAGCCAAAGCCTTGAGTTTCCTTCTCTCGGCCAACAACTCCTATGATTCCATGTGTTATCAAAGTCCTCTCTTTTCATCATTACTTTGAGCTTGGAAGCAAATTATGAAGATTATAGGAGTATGAGTTGAAGTTTTACACAGATTATGGCTCTCTTGTTTACTATTGCTTTTATTAGTATTTTTTAATGCTATATTTTAGTTGTCATGTGTGAGACATGGTTGATGTTATTTCTTTCTTGGTATCTATGGCTTTAAAATTGTTACTCATATGTTATATGATTGATGTTATTTGTTTCTTGGTATCTATGGCTATGAAATTCTTATTCATATGTTAGATCCCCCCCTCCCCTCTCACATGCGCGTGCATGCATACATGTATGGGACACACTTCCCCTTGTGCTCTATCAATGAGATTTAAGATGCGATTTCTTTAAAATAGACATTTTGACGACAGTACGTTACAAACGACAATGCTGTTCAATGAAATTTTAACCAAAATGTCGCCTTGACACTAGTTACTGGAATCAGTGTTTATGGGGGAAAAAGTACAATCTTAAATTTTTTAGAAGGTGACATCAATAAGGAAGTAAATCCTTAAATTGCGTTTCGATGAAAAGTTTCTAAATCTTTAATATTTTGAAATAATTAGTCCCTTAAATATTCATTGAAATTGTTATTCAGTTCACCATTTCTTATCCGGTTACTTAATTCCATAATTGATTGGAGGGATTAGCTAGAAATAACTTATAAACATTGGTCAACCTAATAACAATTTTCAATGATTTGAGGGACTAGTTTTAAGACAACTTATAAGATTTGGGTGAGCTTTCTGTTGGATTATTTAACGATCTACACATGAATAATTGAACTAGAAATTCAGATTAAAGTTACCGTTCACCGTCGAAAACAATGGAAGTCTTCTTCTCTCTCCTCCGGTAGTCAACAATGAGAATTTGGTCTCTTTTCTGTGTACGGTTGAGAGGAGAGACTCCTACCCTTAAATAGATATTTGTAATTAACCCTACCCATCATTGTTTAATCACAACCGTGGGATTACACTCCGATCGATACTATCCTTTAGATATTCAAGATAACCACCCAACTTGCTAAATATGAAACTATCTAACCAGACCATGTGGTTAGCGTCCTGATCCTAACTTGAATCGATGCCAACTTTAAATCAAATCCAAAAACGAGTAGGTTGGGTCACATGGGTTTGTTGGATTAATCGAACCCAAAAATCTCCCACTTGGCACAACATACCTCATTTTAAATTTAAAAAACATTTAATTTTTTTTGAAAACTTTTAAATTCGTGTGCGCACCCGTTTATTTTGGAAAACAACTTGTTGTAATGATTCTAATTAGGATAGTTTCCAAAATATTTTCCTTAAAACAAAAGTACCACTAATGGTTGATCGTGAAAATACTATATGCTCTAATATGGCACAAGGTCACTCCACGGTCCAACCGCTAGTACCGCTAATGTTCTAAATACATTGTCCTTATGGTGGTTTTAGTGGAGTGTAATAGAGCTGTACATCCCTTATGGTCAGATCCGATGTACGCCCTTAAGTATCCTCTGCAACATACACAAACATGTATACCGTTCTGAAACTTTTACCGGCATCCGCCATTTGAAAACTATTACCTTTAGTCCAGAACGAAACCCTCAAATATGATGTCCAATCACATTCAGCTTCTGCACAAATATAAGAGTCTCTTTACTTTAATCTCTATGACTCTATGGACCACTATCTTTAATTCGAGTTTCTTTACGATTAACTTAAAACTCTTTACTTAAAACTTTAGTTTTCTTTACTTTAAAAATATATATCAAGCAACAATGACTAATAACACAATGCTTGAAAATATCAAACTGGTAACAAAATCAGCACAATAATTTCTTTATGAGCTCAAAGCAATCCAGAATATAGTACTTGAAAATAAAACAAAACTACTACGACAACTAAATCTCACTGATGATGTAGAATTGAAAGACTCTAAGACATCCATACTGGAGACATGTTCCTTGAAGAGCCCTGTAGAAATTCCCTTGGTCAAGGGATCAACAATCATCAACTGAGTCGGCAGATGAGGAACCTCAATCAATCCTTGTTCGACCTTATCAAGGACTAACAAGTACTTCACACCGAAAAAGTTCTTATTCTTTACAAACTATATGACTGCTTGATTATCACAATACAACTTTACTGGTCTCTGAATGACATCCACCACCTTTAGTTCACTGATAAAATTCTTGAGCTAAGAGGCGTGCAATGTTGCTTCAAAAATAGCAACATACTCTGCCTCCATAATGGATATCGTCACTAAGGACTGCTTGATACTTTTTCAGGAAACTGCTCCTCTAGCAAGCAAAAATATATAACCTGATGTTGATTTCCTGCTATCAGCACATCATGCGAAATCTGAATCTAAATAACTGACGACTTCTAGATTTTCAGACCATCTATAGATCAACATGAAATCCTTGGTCCTCTGTAAATACCGCAAAACCTTCTTTACAACTTTCCAATGAGCTACACCAGGATTTTGCTGAAACCTGCCTAATATTCCCACGATATAACTGATGTCTGGCTTTCCAATGAGCTACACCAGGATTTTGCTGAAACCTGCCTAATATTCCCACGATATAACTGATGTCTGGCCTGATGCATGATAATATTCCCACGATATAACTGATGTCTGGCCTGATGCATGACACCGCATACATTAGACTGCCAACTGCATAGACATACTCCTCAGAATTCACGAGCCTACGCTCAACTTCATTTCACGGACATTAAGATTTGTTGAACATATCTCCTTTAACAACTAGGGCTTCACCTGGTGCACAAAACTTCATATCATATTGCTGAAGGACTTTCTCAATATAAGTCCTGTGAGATAAGCCCAACAAGCCTTTAGTCTGATCTCTGTGGATCTTGATGCCCAAAATATAATGAGCATCTCCGAGGTCTTTCATATCGAAATGCCTCGAAAGAAAATCCTTAGTTTTATGTAGGAGATGAATATCGTTGTTGGAAAGTAATATATCATCTACATAAAATACTAGAATGAGGAATCGGCTCCCATTGATTTTGAGGTATATGCAGCGATCGATAGGATTCTCTCGTAAGCCATTTGATATTATTACTTGATGAAATTTGAAGTACCACTGTCTAGAAGCCTGTTTGAGACCATATATTGACTTCTTCAATCTGCAGACCATATCTCCCTTAACTACAAACCCTTCAGGCTACACCATAAAGATTTCCTCATTCAGATCTCTATTCAAGAATGCCATCTTGACATCCATCTGATGGAGCTCAAGATCAAAATAGGCGATGAGAGCAAGAACTATCCTGAGAGAATCTTTCTTAGATACTGGAGAAAAAGTGTCGATGTAGTCAATCCCTTCTCTCTGCTTGAAACCCTTGGCCACTAGCCTGGCCTTGAATCTTTCAATGTTTCCTTTAGAATCCCTTTTGGTCTTGAAGACCCATTGCATTTCATCGCTCTAGCTTTGTTCGGCAAAGGTACCAACTCCCAAACAAAGTTTTTTTCCATTGACTGAAGCTCTTCTTCCATACCCTTCAGCCAATTAGATGCATGAATGTTGTCTCTTGCTTCTGAGTATGATGAGGGATCATCAGATTCTGGATCAATGCATCCACTTTCCTGAAGATAGACCTCATAGTCATCAGGTATGACTGATCTTCTGACTCTAGAGGATCTTCTAACAGGTTGTGGCTCTTCCGCAGGTTTAAAGATTTCTTGAACTGGGGGAGAAGGTGGAATGCTATCTGGAAGAGTAGGGAATCTAGAGATGGTTTCTAATAGCTGAAACGACTGTTCATCTTCTAAAATTTCCTCAAAACTCAGACCACGATGTTCTGAAGAAGCATTAGGGTCTTCCAGAAACTCAGCATGTTGTGTCTCGAAGAACTAGGTAGACCGAGAAGAACAATAGAACCTGTAGCCCTTAGATCTTGCAGGATAGCCGATAAAGTGACACGACACTGTTCGGGTTTCTAATTTCTTAATGTCTGGATTATAAAGCCGCGCCTCCGCTGGACATCCCCAAACACACAGATGACCAAGACTAGGATCCCTGCCAGTCCAAAGCTTGAACGCGGTCTCAGCTACCATCTTACAAGGGAGACGATTGATGATATATATAACTGTCTTCAATGCCTCACCCCAAAAACTTCCAGGCAAATCTGAATGACTCATCATGCTACAAACAACATCTTGATAAGTACGATTTCTTCTTTCATCTACTCTATTTTGCTGCAGAGAACCTGGGAGAGTATACTAAGGAATAATGCCTTGTGACCTCAAGTACTCAATGAAGGGACCATGATTTGTGCCATCCAGATTGCTTTTACCATAGAATTCCCCACCTCGATTAGAACGCACAGATTTAATCTTTCTTTCTAAATGTTTTTTTTAACTTCAGCTTGAAAGATCTTAAAAACATCCAGTGCCTCATATTTGTGGTGAAGAAGAAAAATATAGGCATAACGCGAAAAATCATCTATGAAGGAGATGAAGTATCACTGACCACCATGAGAGGGAATGGGAAAAGGTCCACAAATATTTGTACGAATGAGGTCAAGGAGACCTTCACTCTTGGAGGCTTCAAATTTTCTCAATTTAGTCATCTTTCCCTTGATATAGTCAACACAAGTACTAAAATTAGAGAAATCTAACTGTTCAAGAACACCAGACTTTACTAAGGATTTCAAACGCTTTCTTGAAGCTTGTCCTAATCTCCAGTGCTAAAGTATGGAAGAATTGCTATTAAGCCTAGGACGTTTTGTACCAGAAGAAGATGAATTCTTAGACATACAGAGAGGGGAAGAAAAAGATGCATCCTTATTTAATCTATAAAGACCGTTAATTAAGAAACCATGTTAGATAACATCCAAACCTTTTCTTATAGAAACATAATTATTCTCGAAAACATAGCTATAACCAGATCCAGAAAGTCTAGAAACTGAAATAAGATTCCTTCTCATAGAAGGTACATAGAAAGTGTTTGATAAAACTAAGAAAACGCCAGAATCCAAACGCAGACTGAAAGTCCTAACGAGCTCCACCTCCAAAGGCTGTGAGTTTCCCAAAAACAACTGCTCATTTTCCCTTGCCTTCCGACTATGGATTATTCCCTATAATGAAGTTGAAATGTGCACAGAGGAACCAGAATCAATCCACCAAGAATTTAAGGGAACATCAACTAAATTTGTTTCATAACAAACATGAACTAAATCCCTACCTCCCTTCTT